GCGTGAGCCACCGCGCCCGGCCCCTACTTGTTATATGACTAGAAATTACGTGTTTTCAGAGTCATTAGCACTGTGCCTGGCATACGGCTGGTACTCAAATGGTTGTGGTGATGGTACGTCCATAACCAGAAGTTTGCAGGAACCTACTGGTATGAGCAAAGTGACACCTAGTGGTGCAATTTTAGAATACATGCCAAAAGTCTAGTCAATTGCTGGTCTGAAACCTAAATTGAGGAATAACTAGGAACTAACAAAGCACCTGCTTTACATAAGTACAGTAACATTATTTAATCCTCACAAGTGATTTCCAACCCTAGAGGCATATAAGAATGACCTGTGTGGCTTTTAAAGTCTCCCGACGTCTGGATCTTACCCTGAGAGATTCTGATTTAACTTGCTGGAGGTGTGGCTCAGGTGGTGACATTTTAGATAAGCAATTTTGACCTGCAACTGGGTTGAGAAGCACTGCAACAGACCCATGAGATAATTCTTCTCATGTTACAGATGATGAAAGTAAAACTCAGAAGGATAAAGTAATTTGCACAAAGTCACATAGTTATTATTAGCAGAAGGGAATTTGAACTTGAGTCTACTGTTTTCCCACTACATCACATTGTCTTTGCAGAGGGTTTTGGAGGTCTGACGTGCTCCATTTAGCTTCTGCCTATGAAAGTCTCAGACTCAGAGGCATTGGAGAGTTGCATGATCCTGTGAGCTGAAGCACTCCAAACAACAGTTTGGTGTTGATGGGGTAGTGTGGTCCAATGAAGACACTGACTGCCTGATTCTCTCTTTAGTCTAGGCTCTTTCCAGAACTTAAACTCTACTTCTGTTGATGGAAAATAACAGCAGTATGAGGGTGTTTGACTGAATTGAATTGCTACAAGATAAATTTAAAACTTTCTTTTTTCGCTCTTGTGACATCATAGGTATATTAGAGAATTAAAACAGATTAATCATCCATTAATGAGTTCCAGGGAAGACTGACCATATTGCTACTACACACTTACATGTTTGGCCAAAAACAAATGAGGTGATAAATATTGGCAGATTAAGGAAAATGGAAGGGTCTAATTTCCAATATCTGAAGACTATTTCCTAAGTTGGCTTCCCACACAGGTCCAGATGATGATCTTGAAAGGTGTGAGAAGCACAAATCTCTTCCAAACCCATTGTGTAGAAACTGCCGCCTTAGTCCAGGAATGGAAAATGAGCAGGTCCTCACTGGGACAGCAAGGAAGGCTGCAGCATCTTACAGAGATGAATGGAATCCAGGCCAATGCCTAGCTCAATTATTTGCTAAAATGATTTCTCTGAATTTCATGGGGAACGTTTCTTTGGTTGGATGCTAGGCAGCATACGGGTGCAGGTTGAAGACATTTTTGGCACTGCGTTAGCCTACAGTGTTTTTAATATTTTTCAGTTAATAGTCAACATTTAAAGTTGGGGAGATTTCACGTAAAAATTCCTATTTTTGGCATGCGATATGATGCAGAGAACCTTAACTGTCCTGGCTACTGCTGTATCCCCAGAGCCTAGAACAGTGCCTGGAACATAATACCTGTTCAGTAAATATTTTTTGAATTAGTGTTTTTCAAAAAAAGTCCCATGAAATATGAATTATTATCTTCATTTTACAGTGGAGAAAAAAAAAATCTCAGAAAAGCAATTCGCCTAAGGTCCCATAGTTGATAAGTAGCAGAATATTTTAATTCAGGTGTGTCCAAACCAATGTTCTGCCACTGCCAGCATCCAACTCTGGTGGGCCTTTCATATTCATGAAAGGCTTTCAATATAGACTTTTAAAAACAGCTTTATTTGTTGTTTTTTTTTTTTGAGACAGAGTCTCACTGTGTTGCCCGGGCTAGAGTGCTGTGGCGTCAGCCTAGCTCACAGCAACCTCAAACTCCTGGGCTCAAGCGATCCTCCTGCCTCAGCCTCCCGAGTAGCTGGGACTACAGGCACGCGCCACCATGCCCGGCTAATTTTTTCTATATATTTTTAGTTGTCCAATTAATTTCTTTCTATTTTTAGTAGAGACGGGGTCTCGCTCTTGCTCAGGCTGGTTTCGAACTCCTGAGCTCAAACAATCCGCCCGCCTTGGCCTCCCAGAGAGCTAGGATTACAGGCGTGAGCCACCGCGCCCGGCCTGGCACTTCATTTTATAAAATATAACTGGAGTCTCAAAAAAGGGTGACCAGTTTGCTCTTGGCCTCTGAAAGGCTCTGCTGCTTCCTGCAACCAAACAAGCCCACTTTATCCAACCGGAAAACAAAATCCCAAAGTCAGAAGAGCTGTCTTATATTTGCTGGCATATCCATGATGACTGCCAGTATGCATATTTGGTAAACATTTACTAACAATATAGATCATCAAGAACTGGTGCGGCAGGGTGGAAGGATCAAGTAATAACCTACAGGAGGTTGTGAGAGAAAGGGAGTAAATTCCAAAACAGGTGCCTTCCTTCTGACCCACAACCCCTACTTTGCTGTTGGTCAGGTCTGTTGATATGGTTCACAAAGGGATGCTGACTTAGACGGAATGTGTAAACTAACAGAAACATGAAGCTTGGTTGAAAAATGGAAATTTTCTCCAGATCTTGACTAAGAGAAGGTAAGCGTGGTGTTTCTCCCACATTCTGGGTCAAATAGAAGCTTCCTTTTGTGGCAGGACAGGGATCAGTCACATGTCTAATCAGCCAGTGGAGTTAATGAATGTGGCAGAAGCAAGGGACAGAAAACAGGACGAGATGAGCAATGAGAAGGAGACACCTGAGACATCCATTGTGAGAAAAGAGAATCACCTACAAATGCCTCAGCCAGGAAGGACAGGTAGGGCTTTTTATAAAGGATCTGTTGAACTTCTGGAGTATTTTGACATTATAACATTTTGTTCATATGAATAGATTAGCAAAAACGTGAGGGTAAGGAGAATGAATGCCTACTTCTCTGTTGTGAAGAAACAAGTGAACTAGTTTGGAAACAGGAGAGGAAAAAGGAGCTGTCATGGAACCCTGCCGAGCTCATTCCTTCCTTCAGCCTTTTCTCCTGTCCTTCCCCTCACCTGGAATATCCTCCCCACTCCCTCTGCCTAAGACCTGTGCCCTCTCAGATCCAATGCAGATTCCCATGTCTCCATGACGACTCCTGCCCCCCACCTCCCTGAACTCCTACAGCACATCTGCTGCGAGCCACACAATTCCCACTAGATTAAGCATATTGTCTTTGAAAGGTTCCTGTGTGTATGTCTTATAAAACCCCTTGTAAACTCTTCGAGGACAAGGGCCATTTCTTCTGCTGTTGCTCCATCTCCCACAGTGCTGATGGCCTAATAGACCCTCTGTAAGGCCTTGCTGGCCAGCTAACTAAAGAGTTCAGTTCAGCTCTCTTGCTCTTGCCAGCAAAGTAAAGAGTGCACAATAAAGTCCTTTCACTATGAAATGACAAATTCAAAGATAGAGGGGCCGGAAAAGCACTCAAACAGAATTATTCATTGTCTCGAATGCCTCATGGTTGCCAGATCCCAGAATCCTCAGGTTAGATGTGGAAATAACTTTGATCTATGTGATAGTGCTTTTTAGATTAGTATTGCACCTACATGGAATGTGTAAAGTAATAAATACAAACATGGGTTACATGAGTCAAGGAAAGGGAAGAGTTTCTGTTTTTTTTTTTTTTTTTGAGACAGAGTCTCACTCTGTT